GGGGGGGGCAGTGAGTGGGGACTCAAACCTGAAACCTTCCAGACCCAAGTCCAATTCCTTTACCACGAGGCCACCACTGGCCAGTATAATAATACATACTCATGTAACTATGTGAGACTGTAACAATGGACACAAGTGCTGGACAGTCTTAATATCCTTGACCTTCAGACCCTGAACGTGTTGGTGAAGTTGGTTTTAGAGATTTTTATCATGGTCTTGGTTTCTAGATGGATGGATGGATGGATGGATGGATGGAATGGAGGATGGATGGATGGGTAGTGTGTTGAAAGTCACTGTTATAAATCAGGCTGGGCAGAGAGGAACTTATCCAGAGAGAGGGTGTGTGTGTCTTTGTCCTGTGTGTGTGTGTGTGTGTGTGTGTTGAAAGTCACTGTTATAAAACCCATATCGCAGGGGAATGGAGATGTTTCTCAACAAAAGGCTTCTGATGAAGAGTCAGAGGGCTGATGAACACACACACAAACACACTCTAAGAGTCTCTGCTGTTTAAATAAATTACAGGAGACCGTCGAATTATTTCACACCCTGCTGTTTAAATAAATTACAGCAGCAGAAAACTTTGGTTTGCAGCACAGGAGACCGTCGAATTATTTCACACCAAACAAATGATTCATTGTGTCAGACAGACTTGTTTACTGCTGCCTCGTGTGGTCAATTTGTGTCAGGGGGGTACATTTAAGCGATCAATTTGAAATATTGAGTTGATCAACAACTGCTGTTTCCTTCTGATGCAGAACCACTGGTTTTCTCTATGAACCTTGATGTGGGAGAGTGAGTGAATTACAAATGCTGAACCTTTTCAAAAAGCTTCTTCAGTGCTCAGTGAAATCACATCAGTGCTGCCACAGCCTTGGACTGAAGACAGAAACACACACACACACACACACACACCTTTCTAACAGTAACAATAAAGCTGTGTGAGCCATGTTTCTGTCGCTAGCGGTTCGGTACTGTTGCCAGGCAACAGATGATGATTGCGGCGGTGAAGTGTCCTTCTGAGGGCCATTATGACACACACATACACACACGCACACCCTAAATGAAACAGAGAGCAGATATGTGTGTGTCACTGTCATTGTTCTCCGTCTTTCATCTCCACTCTCCCGTCCATCCACATCCTTACTTTTATCCTTGTTCTTTTCTGTCTCAGTATAAAGTGTGTCTTGACTAGTTTCACTCATCTTTCTGATCAGTGTCCTTTTTCATTCCTTGAACATGGCTCAGAATCTAGTGGATTAAAGCAAAGGCGATCCTTTGCTTTAATCCATTAAGTTCTGACCCTGGTCCATAAAAGTGTTGGTCTTTCACAGACGAAACTCTTGTTTTGGTAAACATCCCTCTGCCAGTATTTACCCACATCCAGTTGAACACATTTATGTTACTGTCATAAATTGGTGTCGTCTTAGCCTGGTATAATACTGTGTGAGTATTTATTACCATGTCAAACTGCACACAGAACAAATCTGCCTCTTCCAGGCAAAATGAATAAACATCTAGAAAAAGGAAACACAGTAATTACATAAAACAACAGGAGAAATACAGATATAGGTCTGAAGGTCTGTATTTGCCGTCATCAGTATAGAGCTACTGCTTCTTAAACAGTTCATCCAATCATCATGCAGAACAACAACTTTCACACCCCCTAATGTGACATTAACCCCCAGTGAAGCGTCTGTGGAAGTGACTTTCTTGCCGCAATTATCCAATTAGTATTTAGCCGCACGGTAAACAAATCAGGTCTTAAACTGCTCTAGTTAGAGAACTGTCAATAACACTGAAGGTCTTTGATATATTTACCTGTAATTCCCCAGCCTGGGATCAATTCGACACGTCCCACTAAATGTTCAGCTTGCTGGCTAACAGCAAAACAACAACAAATTCATTTTCATTTGTGGGTTCATATTATTTGTTTTGTTGAATGGTGTTGAATGTTGCAGACCACTGTGTCACCACTGGCCTGTATTGACAAAGGACTGAACAACCAAACAGAAGCTTTACCTCTTTGTTTCCTGTCTTGTCTAAGCTAACATGCAGACGGGAGGCTAGCCCAACGTTTTCCTCAAGCATGACACGTTTTGTCTCTGTGGCTTTGGCTAAAGCTAGTATCCAAACCAGCTGATTGGGTTGTTGTAAATGGAAGTGTTTTGTTATGTTGTTAAAATAAGGTCGTCATATGTTGGACGCTTCTGTTGGGATACAACCCACAAGTCAAGTTCTGTCTTGGTCTTCTTCTCCTCGTCTTAGTTAAAACTTTTCTAAAGCTGAGTCTTAACTGTTCTGTTTTTGTCTCATTAAAAGGTTGGTTTTCACTAACACACATAGACACATGCACACAATCTCTCTCACACACACACACCTGAAAATGTTAATCACTTCATTTGTTGCCATTTGAAGTGTTAAGTGTTGCATGTTGTGAGTGCCTTCACACACACAGGTGTGTGAACAGGTGCTGAGGTGACCTGCTGTTCTTTACACTCTACTGAAGCACAGACAAAAAAACAAAAAAAAAAAAAAAAACCTGCAAATAAAAAACACGCTAATCGGCAACCTGTGTGTGTGTGTGTGTGTCTGTGTGTTGTGTGAAGTTCAGGTGTAACAGTCTCACTGGGGAAAGGAAGGTGATTCTCACCTGAAGTGAGATGATTAGAGAATTTGAACAGAGTTAATGGACATGTCGCAGAGTGTGTGTGTGTGTGTGTGTGTGTAGTTGAACTCTGAACTCAACACATTTCACCGTAAAATGTTTTTTGCATATTTTTTTTTATAACTGACCATTTTTTTCACGAATGGTTTCTTTTACATTTTGACATAAAGAACTGGCGCCATTGTTTTTCTTCCTAAGTTAATGTTAAATGAGGCCAGGACTCTCCGAGGAGCTGGTGAAGGAGCACAGGTGGACGGAGGTCTAGGCTCCACTGAGGCCTCGTGGACCCAGACCTTAAACTGGAAAACCATCTGACAATGATGATGAAGATGAGAGTCTTGATTAGAAGAAGATTTGCATTTATTGTCGTTACACATGTACAGACACATATACAGACAACGGACATTTGCTCAACACAGCACAGCCAACCACAGTGGGACTAGAACCTGGGACCTCTGATAACAAGCCTGATCCTCTAACAGTACGCTGGGCCACAGGCCGCCAGATAAGACGACGCTTAAAGTTCCTTGGTGAGTTCCAATACTCTACGTACTCTATGGACTTTGTTTCTGTTCACAGAGAATGATACCTGATGAAACATTCCGTTTGATTTAGATCAGAGAAGATACTCCAACCAACAGACAAGCTTTGGTGACCTGGCTTCAACTCTCCTCATCGGCCTTATTTACAGACAGCCTGACGTCAAGCCTAAGATGACACATACTGAGCAACACAGAACCACAGCAGGTAGACAACCTCAGGGGCAAAGGACCACCCCAGACCAGGCAGTCTACCATGGCCATGAGGCCAAGAGTCCAGCCAACCTGGAGCCCTGGATTCTAGACCAGCTGGTGTCCAGACCTGAATTATCTAAGACAACTCAGGACACAGGCAGACCAACACCACCACCAACACCACCACCAACACCGCCACCTCCTGAAATATATGAAGAGCGAACAACCCCATAAAGACCAGCCCTGGATCAAAAGAGACTTGATGCTTACGAGAACCCAGACTAACTGACCAACCTACAACTCAAACGGAATTCTCCAAACATCGCTGTCCACCCACCAATCCTAACCCACAAGGACAAAGTCGGGCTGACCTGATTTGGTTATTAACCAATCATCACGAGGGGACTCCTGCTGGGAGGTGAGATTCCTGATTTCCTTCATGTACAGGTATAAACAAAGAGATACAGTTCTGATCTACACTTCCCATGGATATTCTTGTCATGTGAGTAGAAGCTCCTGAGCCATATACAGGTGCATGGTGGGAGACTGAGTTGGTTTTGTTCAGATTTGGCTCAAAAAAAACATGTCCACAGCCACAACACTGTTGTTAATGTGTGCACGTGTGTGTGTGTGTGTGTGTGTGTGAGAGAGAGAGAGAGAGAGAGAGAGTGTAAGGAAGAGGCTATCTATCACATTCATTAGGACACTGACACTGTCTGTGTATTTCATTGCAGCCTAATTAGCAAGTGCTTAGCAACAGCTTCTCAGTTCAACTCTGTTCCTGCAGCAGAAGCTGGTTTTTAAAAAAACAACAACAACAAAACAAAACACTGCAGAGCGAGCAAACAAATACAGACAAAAGAATCAGACACAACTGCTCAGAGTCACCGCTAAGACTGGTTCACATCACACACACGCCGAACGCTTTAGCTAGCCATATAGAAAATGATTACTGCTATGAAATTAATGTGTTTTGATGAGTACATTGACGATGGAAGTTTAAAGCTCAGCTTCTCAGCTCCTCCTGGCTAACATCAGGTCTCATTGGTTAGCATTTAGCTATTTTTTGCTAGACTTTTGTTAACTTTAAACCATTTCTGGGCTAACTTTTTTTTTAAATGTGTGTGCTCTTTTGCTATTACTTATATCAAGTTTTTGCTTTATATTTAGAAAAAATGTGTGTGCTCTTTTGCTGTTACTTTGTTATATCAAGTTTTTGCTTTATATTTAGCTACTATTACTATGTAAACTAACTTATGAGCTAAAGGCTAAGCTTAGTCCGGTGATCCTGATGGTCAAATATTGGTTGGTGCTATTGACCATATTTTGTCGTCACGTCACGTGTGTGTGTTGGGGGGGGGGGTTCTCTATCTTCCTCAAATAAATCAAATGTTCTGATTAGGCAAATGTTAATTGTTTACTCCAAGTTGACATTAAGCGTGAATGTGAGGGTGAGTGGGAGTGGGAGTGTGAATGTTGTTGGTCTCTGTTGGTGATTGACTAAACAACTGTTGATGACGGTCCAAAGGACGTCCATAGCCCAGAGACTCCCCGCCCCCTGACCCTGTAAAGGACTAGGCGGTAGAATATGAATGAACTGTATTGTGTTAAAAACTCAACTCAAACCAAGTCACTGCCTACAGGGTTTCTGACACAACAACTGATTTGTTGTTCCGTCTCATCCTCATGCTAATCTGGTGCTACGATGAGGTTCAACAGGACAGGAGGGTTAAATTAAGTTACTTGACAGAGTGTTGCTGCAGACAATATCGCCTGTGGGACTGTGAATTATCCACACGTTATTGATTTTTCCTCTGTGCTGGGGTCTGTCAGCTGTTAGCATGTCCTCTGTTGGTGGTCAGTGACAGTGAATGAGGTATTCTTCCTGGAAAAAAACACGATCTGTTGTTAAATGTTCTTCAACAATTATTAACCTGATTGGTCTGGATTGAACAGTTATTGCTGTGTTTATCTCAACAAAAATCCTTAACATTTAGCTCCGCATTTAATTTGCAAAGTTACAAGGTAGAGATTAACTAAATCCAACAAAATTTGGTCCTGACATCTGGCTCTGCTTTAACTGTGTTATAGTTAGCAAAAATGACAAAATATATGAACGTGATTTAGCTATAACGCAGATACAAAGCTAAGACCAGTATGTGATGGAGAAGTTTGTTAGGGTGTTTATTAGACCAATACATGTTGTACAATGAAGTAGTACTACAACAAGCAACAAGGCTAACCAAAACTAACCTGACCACAATGGGAAGCAAGCCAGGAGCATCAGGGATACACAAACCATAGTTTCAGAACCCCAGTCTTGAAGCAGTTGCATTACTGAGTGTTACAGTGTCATGGTAACAGGCAGGTCCACTAATAACCAGAGTTGGACCAGAGTAAATGACTTCTCATTAAAATCTCTCTAATTATTTATAAAACATATGGTAATTTTATTTAATGTAATTTATACACATTTAATATAAATTATACACACAATTACACGTTTTTAGACATAAACACAGACTGGACTTCTCAAATGTGACGGACTGGACCTTTACTGTGCCTCTACGGTCGCTGCCTGTTCACTCTGACAGTTGTTAGAAACTTCTGCAGGACTTCCTGTCTGCTCTGGTCTTACCTTCTGGTCTACGATGGAACAGGCCACCTCCCGGACCTGACTCAGGCTTAGATCTGCAGCGTCCAGGAGAACCGGCTCCCGGCTCAGACCGATTTGGATCTGAAAGGAGATCACACCTCCTCCAACACCTCCACTGCTGCCACCTCCGCTTCCCCCTCCTCCTCCCCCGGTGCCGGTGTTCCCTCCAGAGAAGTGCAGCGGGCTGGGCGCACGAATGAGTGGAGGCGCGCTCATGTGGACCTTCTCCCCGGTGTTCTCCATCACTGCCAAGAAACTATTAAAGAGTCACGACGAGCAGAGGGACTCACTCACTCACTCACTCACTCACCCCAGCTGGGTGAGAGGGTGAGGCAGAGAAAAAAAAAAAACAGTGACGCGTCAGAAACGCGCAAAAACACGAAGGCGCGACGACTCGGTGACGTGGAGGAAACACGGAGCAGCGGACAAGAGGGACATGATGAGAGAGGAGAGGAGACACTGGAACATGTTAGGAGGGAGGGAGAGAGAGAGAGAGAAGGCGGAGGATGGGGAGGAAACGAGAGGGGAGAGATGATAGGAATATAGTGAGAAAAGAGGAAAGAAGAGGAGGAGGGAAGAGAAGAGTAGAAGACAGGGGCAAAAGGACGCAAGGGAAAGTAAAGAAGTGAAGAAGAGGGGAGAGAAGACTTGAGGAATAGGACAGCAAGTGAGAAAAGGAGAGGAAATAAATATGAAGTGAGAGAGAGAGAGAAGGGAAGAGAAGAAATTAGACAAAAGGAAATAAGACTGAGGAAAATGGACTCAAAGGAAAGGAAACAAGAGGATATGAAAAGATGACAAGAGGAGAGAAAAAGACACCAAGAAAGAAAGAAGAGCATGTAACCTGAGGGAAATGAAAAGAAGATGAAACAAGAAAAGAAGACAGAAAAAGACTGAAGATAAACTTAAGAGAAAAGACCGGAGGAGACCAGGTTAAATGACGAGGAAAGGACAGGATGGGTGATTAGGGGATGAACAAAAGGACAGAGTAGAATAGGATAAAGGACAGGACAGACATGGAACACAGACAAAAGAAAAGAATCTTAGAAGGTAAGAAAGTGAAGTAGGAAGGATGTTGGAAATAGTTTATTCTGACTTTACTAAAATAGGACTAGTCCAACTGTGTCTTTTTATCCACACATCAAATCGACCTGTTGCGTATGCGATGATGCTGTCGACTCAGTGAAGTGTTCTGGTTGCTAGGAGACGCACACTTAAACACACACACACACAAATACATTCTATCTGTAATAAATGGAATAAATGGAAGCAAGGCTAAGGCGTGGGAGGACTGAAGTGTGTGTGTGTGTGTGTGTGAGGTCAGCATGTCAGTGTTGTCAGACACAGAAAAGCACAAGCCGATGATGGCAACACTAATGCTGGTATTGATGTAGTAATGAAGATGAACCAAAGTAATCAGTGATGTTAATAAAACAAGGTCCACTGGGGACATCAGTGCTGCCTCCAGTGGTTAACTTGTGTCATGGAGGAACAAATACTACATTCAAGCAAGCGAATCAAAACTCCTGTTCAGCCCTAATGTAAATACATTATTTACACTATGGGATTTTTTTTTTCTAGTTCGTACTAATCTGTGAGTGTTGTAGAAAAAAATGAAAAACGTGCAGAGAGATTAAATGTCAACAATTAAGATTTTTTGTCATTTCACTCCTGATTTGGTCAGCCATAGAAACTATATGGATTAAAGCATTGCCTGTTTAATTAAAAACAATAACTTCATAACACACATGAGTTGGCTTCAGGTTCGAGTCCACCGTCTGCCAAGTCACCACTGAGGTCCTCTGAGCAAGGCACCGTCCTCACTCACTGCCCCCTGGTCCTTACAGCTGCCCACTGTTCACTGTGGTGATGGGTTGAAAACAGAGGCTCAGTTTCATTGAACCCTCGTGGTACAATGACCATATATACAGACCATAAAGTAACAAGTGGTAATCAAATCAGTCAAATGTTTTATTAATATATTATTTGTGTTGTAAATCCTTTGATCCAATTTTCAAAGGTGATACAAACTGACCACTGGAGGCAGCAGTCAACTAGCCACTGGTTTATGAGCTTGTTACTTTTCTTTTCCTTTGTCGTCGTGGTCTCCCTGTATCTGTTCTTTTCTTTTCCGTTGTCGTCGTGGTCTCCCTGTATCTGTTTTATCTCCTTCACCTGGTCTCCGTTATCCTTCCAGCTCACAGTCACCTTGTTACATTTTTATATTTCTTATCTTGATGGGGGTTTTTTTTCCAAATCCTGAACATGTTTTTTTTTTCCTCTTTTGTCTGAACTCTGCGCTCCTGAAGGCCTTGGACAGGAGCTGTGGCTGCAGTGAGTCACACGTCAGCAGCTCCCTGTGGATCCACCCAGGCTCTGAGTGTGCAGTACAGCCATCGTCCTTATTTATAGTTTGTTGTGTTAAAACAGAACAATGACGACGTCAGTGAGTCACAACAGAGGATGGTCTGCCGGGGGGGGGGGAAACATGGCTGCCAGTGGGCCAGTCCTGTCATTACAGACACAGCTACTGACCAGGGTTACGGTTATGAAATCTTGGAACATTCTTGCTGCTTCATCTGGCTGTAACTTCACCACAGGAACCAGATGTTTATAGATTCAATTCGTTTCCCACGTGGACGTGCATTGGGAAAATCCATGATTTTATATCACGACACACGGGAAAGTTGGCCTTTATCTTTAAGGAATTCAAATGTGTCATTTTTTTATGTCAGTGCACCACACAGTGGGACAGTGGTCAAGCTGTTACCGAACAATCAATGGTGATCGATGGCCTCCATGTTTGGACGTAGCTTTGAAAAGTTGTAAACACATTCAAAACTTTTAGCTGCTTCTGGCTAATCTCAGTTATGTCTTTTGTTTAACTAACCATTTGCATTAAAAGTATATTAACTTTTTTAATGCAATATTTCACCCACATGTAGTTATATATATATATATATATATATATATATATAGCTGTAGAGTTTCCTAAACTAATGATTTGTGGTGTAAATGTTACATGCATGTAGATTGATTTACTTGTTGTCGTGGTGTTTATCCTTGACTGCTGCAGTGATCAAGATGTCCTGGTCCTGAACCAATCGCTAGAGGTCTGAATATTTATAACCCTCCCTAGAGCTAGAGGACGGGGACATTGTACAATGTTCTCTGAATAGTTTATTAACCCTTACACATACACATGTTCTCTGAATAGTTTATTAACCCTTGCTCGACCATGTGACAGTCACTATCTCTTTTATTGTTCTCTAATGTTTACTCTGTTGCCTGAGGCCAAGGATGACAGACATGGGACAGTATTATGATTGTCTGAGACTTCTTGTTCGGGGGAAGCTCACCTCTGATCTGCACGCTGCAGTAAGTGTGTTTTGCTCCCTCTCTGGGGTGTGACGAAACACTTCTTACTTTTTTCCACTTTTCTTTCTTTGACTTTCCACAAACATAAAAATACTTTTCCGCAACAGAGCTCGTAGCTAAACCCAGCACTGTGGCTCCTCGGTGTGAGATTGGGTAGTGCTCTTGCCTTACAGCAAGATGTTTACCTGTTCAAGGCTCAGCTTTTTTATATGTGGTTCTCATGTTCTCCCTGTGAGCGTGTTTTCTACGGGTGCTCCAGCCTGTTCCTAAAACACTCAGATTTGGTGATAACTGTCACTGTGTAACCGCAGTTACTCAAACTCACCACTGAAGGCAGCAGTGGACCAGCAAAATAGTGCGCATCCACGTTAATAGCAGTATTTTTTCTCATTGGGCTTTTTAGGTGATTTTGAGGAGGGACAAATGTCAGAGTTATAATTTATTTATAAATGTTCCTCAGAGTCACTTTTTTTACAGCAACCACTAAGAAAATGTTTGACGTGTGATATCAGCAGCTCATTGACACGAAGGCCAATCTGTTGTCTCGGTCCATCTGTGTCCACTGAGCCTGAATGGACCTGACAGCTCCAGAGTGTCTGAGAAATGTGAAACGTCGAGAAGCCACAGGACCACATGGCCTGACACGGAACGTGTTTTCATCCATAAATATCCACAACCATCTGGAAATAACACATTAGGTATCAATGTCTCTGTTTTGTACCACAAAGAGAACTCTGTTCCAGTATCCTCCATTCATCAGTGTGGGATAGTCTGATATACATACAACTGCCATTAAAAGTTTTATTGCTTGGTAGCAGCCCCGACCACCAGGACAAAAAAAGGCACAAAAACAAGTGTACGCCAACTGCCATTAAAAGTTTTATTGCTTGAGTTTTCAAGTAGGTAAAATTAACAATGAATTCCTTTTAATTCTTCTGTGAAAACAATGGCTAAAGTGATGTCCATTAAAACTCAGGTTTTAAATAATCATTGTCCTACCCCATATATCTGTGTGTTATAGTCAGTGTAGATCTTATTTCCCACCAGTTTTTAAAAAGAGTTGGCGAAGCGCACCTCACACTTTGATAACCATGGTAATGTAACCTGCTGTAAAGATAATCTAACCACCAGGACAAAAGATTCATTTTTAAAGGGAAGAATCTGACATTTTTTTTATTGTTAACTGGGTCTATTTACTTCTGCCTAGGTTCACCTACACACAGCTGTCAGTAGAGGGCGTACTGAGTTGACTGTACATCGTTAGCTTACTGCCAGGTGTGCAGAGGAAGTCCTCCGTCATGGCTGCATGGCTGGTTTGACTACGACTTAAACAGGTCAGTTCACAACACTTTACTTTGGCCTAGTTTTTAGGTTCTGTTCCAGTTCCTACATCCAGCCTCACCGTCGACTGGTACCTTTTATTGTCAACTAATGAGACCAGGTCCCTATTAATAAACTCAGGGACAAGGATTTAAAAAGAAGGTTTAGATTAGACAGGGTTGTTTGGTCTGGAACATGTTTGAGTCTAGATCAGATTAAAGAGACCAAACAGAGTGGACCAGAAATGATCCAGGGTTCTGTTGAGCTGTCCTTACTACCACACTGAACACCAACACTGAACACCATCATCTCTCACACACACACACAGACACACACATCATCTCTCACACACACACAGACACACAGCAGTCAGTTGCTCTGTTTTTCACACAAAATCGTGGCACCATGTACACACACACACACATTGACAGATTTGACACCCACCACCCGTCGTCACTTCTTTACAGCCCTTCCTCCCACCGTGGGTGCGATTCCCATCACTGTGCAAGCTACGATGAAGTGTTAAGAAGCCAGTAAACTTGCTTGTCGTTGTTGTACGTTGTTGTGCAAATGTTTTGAGGGGAAGTTTGCCGATGCCGGCGTATGGCGAGGTACAACAGTAGTCAGCGGTGGGAGGTGTTGCAGGAAGAGAAGGAGAAGGCGTCAGTCTGTAGGTCGCAGCGGTCATGCCTGCAGCACGTTTGCACTTTGTCTTAATTGTTTTCACTTTTTTCCCTCCAGAAATTAAAGAAAAATGTTAAAAAACACCAGACACAGATTGACTTGATCAGGAACAAACAAAGCACCACCTTTTACAGCTTTGTCTGCAGAAACTACAGCTAGTTAAGTTCCCAGAACTGATCTATCTTGAATGTATGATGCAGGCCGTTAGACTTGGACTAAGGGAAGTGAACTCCTGTCACTGTGACACAGCTCACCTGTGTCACCACAACCAGCTGTGACCTCTGCTTTGGGCAGCTTTAAGAACCAGGGAGCAGTGAGTGAGGACGGTGCCTTGCTCAGAGCACCTCAGTGGCAGCTGGTGGACTCAAACCTGAAGCCTTCCTGACCCAAGTCCGCTTCCTTAACCACTAAGCCACCACTGCCCCTAAGAGTCCCACATTGTTACACCAGAGTCCATTTAGAAAAAGACTTTATACTTTGTTGTTCAGGGACTGCTGCCTGTGTTTAAAATTCTCGCAATTTAACGCAGTGACACAAACTGACCACAAGGGGCAGCAGTACAGCAGAAAATACTACTTTTTTGTAGATAAACTTAGGTTTTCTGTTGCTAACCTTAGTTGATGTCATTCTTTTCTCTGCGTATTTCAAAAATCTCCTACTCCATCCTCTTTAATGTTGGCATTAAGAGACGTACATTTAGATTTTAGCCATTTAGCTGAAGACTGAAGGCTAATGAAATACACTTCAGTCACAGTCTTTCTTTCTTTCTTTCTTTATTTCCAGGACTTGTTTTAGCAATTAACTGAAGTTTATGAAATCACTCTTATGGACCCTGTTATGATTAAAGGAATGGAAAAAACCAACCCGTTTAACATAGAGCACTGTTGAAGGCAACATAAGATGAGGTGAGATGTAATGTGATCAGCTTCATCAGTGAACCTTGGTCTGAGACAGTTAAGGTTTATTAATGTATTTTTCTATTTTAAAAAACTGTCTAATTGGAAAAAAGATTAAAGAAATTCTTTGAAGATCTAAGACTGTCGCTGATGTAGCTGTTTAAGCACAGTCTGAGGACTGAGGACTGAGAAGCTTTGTCCCTCCTACTGGTTGTAGCAACAGGGGGCGCTGGCTTCACAAATATCTCTGAGTCTAACTCAGTGGTATAACCCTACTATCACTACTATCACTGAATAGACTTGGGAGAAC